GGTAGATGTGTAGAGCTCGAACCGCATGGTTGTGTTGGATCTGAAAGTAGGACTCCATTCTCTCTTGCTAATTGTTCCAAAGTGATCGGGATGAAGGATCCTGAAGTAGATTTGTTAGCCTCAGAAAATACGTTTTCCAATAAGCTTAAAACCTAAACTTTTGTAATGGAATTCGAATATTTAAAGGTACAATGCCGTCATTGATAAGTTCATAAGGCAAGGCTGACAATGCTGCCCCCTTAACCTCGATGGATGGGTCTCATCGAGTTGCCAACAACTTGACCATTTTGCTTCAATAACGCAGATACAAGATCAAAGAAAAAAACCTCAGACGTACCAATACCACAAATGACGAAAACCTCCGCAGCAAATCCGTAGGCGTACCATCCCGACAACTCTTTCCGACTCGTCAATCGTGTATCCTCACCCGCATACTGGGCAGGAACATCTCTGTGTGCAGAACCAATATCGGGGCCCATACTATCGTGATCAGCGGAACTCGATCTCTCGTCATCTGCTTCAAAAGATGAAGAATAAGATCTGTAGGATATTTTTGTACTATTTGAAGGAGCGCGTTCTGGTTCGGGGCGAAGCTGGGGTTCGCTGATGCGAGGGACCATTGCGCGCTGGATAAGGTAATTTGGGGGACCAGTTAATAGCGATAGGCGTTTAGAACATCATGCTAACCGGACTAATATCTGAAATGTTTAAGATGATTTTGAACATCTTCCTTTGTTTAAAGGAATGCTAGGTACTGTAAATGATGAAATAAATCAAAGTTAGCAAATAATGTAAAGTATGAACAAGAGAGAGAAAAAAAAAGAATGAAAAGAAAAGAACAGAATAAAGATTTTTATTCCAAGAACCCTCTTACCTACATACACACATCCATATGATGCATTAATGAAAATGGAGGTGAAGGTAAAATAAAGGAAAAGGTTAACGATTCATAATAAGATACCCGTACCGTACATCTCTCAAGACCAGCACAAGTGACGAGATAGACGCCTTAACCTGGGTGGAAATAAAACAGGGGCATTCGGCATTTGAGCAGCGCACCACTTTTCAACATCCTTTGAATCAAGTGAGCTCAGATGGATGGAGCGGAGAAGGAGAGGAGGGGAAGGGAGGACAAAGAAAAGAAAGAGAGGTCTCAAGATGTAAGTGGAAGAGGGAGAGGAAGAGGAAGAGGAAGAGGAAGAGGAAGAGGAAGAGGAAGAGGAAGAGGAAGAGGAAGAGGAAGAGGAAGAGGGAGAGGGAGAGGGAGAGGGAGAGGGAGAGGGAGAGGGAGAGGGAGAGGAAGAGGAAGAGGAAGAGAAAAAGGAAGAAGGGAGGAGGGTAGAAGGAAGATAGAGAGTATAAAAATAAGAAATGAATACTGTCCACCCATCTGCCTATCTAAAGACCTCTTGGATACCTTCCTACCATATTGGCTATACCAGTTAAATACACAACCTACTCGATAAATAGATACCTACCTACCTGGGTCTCTTTGAAGATTGTCTTCTTATTCATTCATTATATGAATCGCTGTTGTCATTTGTGACATGCAAACAAGAAGGGTAAAGAAGGGTCAAGACAACGAATAATTCATGAATTTATATATATCTATATGGAGTAAAAGTAACAGCAAACCGAAGAGGAGCAAAGCAAGCACATACTTTTCATTACCACCTAGTACGTACTCCAGAAGACCATTTGAATTCACACCCACCGCACTGGTCTTTCCATTTACCTTCCACCTTCCACCTTCCACCTCCAAGGATTTCTTATCGTTTATCTCTTCTCCGTCTCTCTTCCCTTCCTTTCCCTTCCCTTCCCTTTCCTTCCCTTAAGGTTTCTTTCCTTTCTCCCCTTCTCTTCCTCTCTACCAATCATCTCTCTTCTCTTCCTTCTCACCCAGCACACCGGTAATCTACCGATCAGAACAGTACCTAATCTATGATCACATGACATGGATATCGGTTTTCCAGTTTGATTCACGAATGCCTAATTGGGTCTAGTCTATACCGTCCGCAATTCCAGGTAAGCCAGCCGGATTGTTTGATTGTTTCTTTGATTTCATACAGTAGATTGAAGGGGACGATTGATTTTTTCAGAAAAATAAAGACTTCTTATTCAACCACAAATAATCTCCCTCAAAATCCTTCTTCAAAATTAGTCGCATATCAAAATATCACCCATTCGACCCTTCCAAATTATCAAGATTCCAACAAAACTCGAGTCGTACCCATTAAACAGACCCAGCCATCCTTTCATGCAAGGTCGCGCTGTGCGTTTCCAACCCTACAAAGAGCTATCGATAATTGTCACCACTTCTAAGATTTTGAATTCGAGCTTCGACGGCTAGGAAGAGCTCGTAAGGCTTACTGCGCACATGTTCCTAGATTCTCCGAGGTAGCGCATGCGACTTTGCTCCTACGGCCCCTCTCCAAAGTCCCGAATATTCAATTCCTGTGTCGACAGCCAAGATAGATTCGATAAATCGTATAAAGGTCGAAGAGGGGGCTGCTGTGGGCGTACCGCAAGGAGGAGGAGGTCTGGTGAGTGAGCAAGGGCGAGATAATATGCCCGGCGTCATCATGGATAGTGCGAGTAGGAACGGGTCGCATACCAACCACGACAGAGATCGACAGTTCAATGGTTCCAATGGTGAAGCAAAGGCTTCCGAGAAGGGACGGGATAAAAGCCAGGCACGATCTGAGCCTCAACAGAGTATGACGCCGATCAGCCCAGCGGTTCGTAATGGGATAAATGGCAACTCTACGGATGGCCCAGCGCACCAACAGAACTCCGGAGAGGAACCGATTCCAAAGGATATTCTCGATCGTATACACGACCTTCCACCTGAAGTCGAACATATCACATCGAATTTCTTACCTCTAACAGAATTGCTGAATCGATTAGCACAATCTACGCATAACGATTTAAGGCAGGAGATCATGAAGTTGGCGAACATGCCAATACCCCAGTCAGCGATCAATACGAGCTCGTCTCATATCACCAAAGAAGATGACACCTCCAACGATAATGTGAACAAGAAGGTAAGCTTGCTAAATTTTGCCCAAACTCAACATAGTCGTTGGGTCAAGCAACTGGTTCTACTAAATTGGAGTCGAAACGCTGAAGAAGTGAGCAAAATCATCGACTTGAACATCCACTTATGCCAGAAACGAGGATTATATCAGTACATCCTACACCACATGAGTGAAGTCAAAAGGAAGCTATGCGATGTAGATTCACCTAGGCCCGATTTAAAAACTGCAGTAGAAGTTTTGTCAACCGGGAAAGCCAATTGGATGCCAGACGTAAGTCTCTTGCTCAGGTTTTGTTATTATTCCTAACATTCACTAGCTTGGATACATTGCGCCACCTCCAATGACTCCCAAAGAGATTCTTAAATCCCTGGAAAAACTCAATACTTTGCTATCCATCCGTTTGAATCTATACGAGTACGACAAAATCCCCCTACAATTCAAGAACTATACGATAAAGTCGGGTCGCGTGACCTTTAAAGTAGCCGGGGAGTTTGAAATCGACCTGACCGTTGCAGATGAGAACCAGGAGTTACAGTTCTGGTTTATTGACTTTCGATTTTTATTTTCCCCCTCTCTTAGCGAATTACCACCCCGGCATCAATATCACATAGAGAGTAGAGTCAATGCCGCACTAGAAAAAGATGGCCTGTCTGGCTGTTATAGTTATCTACATGAAATGGTATTGACTCATAAGATCAGTGAATTTAGGAGACAAGCAGTTGAGCTTTCTAGAAGTACTTGGATTGATGGGGTTAAGGTTGAGCCACTTCATCGCGCCTTGTGCATCCAGTATTGGTTGGATAGATACAAGAAAAATGGACCACGAAGTTGGATTATTTTGGGAGTTCACAGTGGACGAAGAAAGGATGGGTACCATGATCCTAAAACGACAAGCCGACTCTCTATAAGATGGTTTCGAGACTCAAAAGAAGTCAAAGATGTGGACATTCCATTCGACACGGTCAACATCTCGGCTGAACAACTTTTGAAGACTGTCATTGCAATGCACGTCAATCACATTTTGGGCTCAACACACAGCAAATTGGCCGCCGAACCTATCTTTGCGAATCGCGAGGCATCCCTGTCACTGCACACATCTAAGACTGAGCCAAAGGAGTCTGTACTCGGCGTACAATTGACAGAGAAACAGCATGTATCAATCACTATAGAACCGGTCACGGGAATTTTTATTTTCAGCCCAGCCTCTCGAATAATTACCTCGTCACAGAATAAGCTCAACAGCCTGGATCGCGATCCTGCAATGGACGCGCATTTTAACATCGAGAATCTTCGATGTTTAGCCATTTCGGAAGAGCTCACTATCCTTGGTACTAGTGTTGGATGGAGAAGGGCTGAAAATCCTGGGATATCTAGAGAAGACCTAAAACGCAAAATTCCGAAAGACACAAAGCAAATCACCTGGTTTAGGAGACCTGGATGGCAAGAAGATTGGCTTGTTGCTGTTACGCTGGGTATGAGTGGGGAAAGTTGGTGGTTGTTTCAAATGTATGTATCTTCAAGGGCCTATAATTTCCATACTAATAAGGATAGATCGAAACAATCGACGGGCGTTAAAGTCTTAACCTCTATTCACATACCCATTAAAGCCGTCTCACCAACACCCTCTTATGTATTTATGTCTACGCTACACATTTTTGCAGGAGGTCTCATCTCGCAATACACTAATCTCAAAGCTCTGCATGATAGGCGCATTCGTCATACTGTCAGACAGTCTGGTCTACCTTCACCCGTTAAACTTCCTTCAATTTGGATACAGATTTCTGGACTATTCCAGGCCAAGGCAAAACCAACAGCTCATAGAACGTGGGCTACAGATTTTCTCAAGCTTAATTTTCAGGGGTTGGAGCCAATTTCATATGTTCCATCTCTTCCATCTCAGTCACCGATTGATGATTCGCCAGCTCTTGTCCCCAAGCCTGAGCAGAAGACAATATTGGTCACGGTTGTACGTATGGCAGTACCGATCCCAGCTCTTGCGGTCTTGAACGAACAGATAGATAAAGATATTGCCTTTCAACCTAAAACGGGAGAGATTGCTTTTAGATTGCGGTCTCAAGTTGGCGAGTCGATAATTCCCGCCCTGACAGAGCGGTTATTCCAGATTGAACGGCTTATTTCTTGTACTGCTGTGCTTCGTAAACATGAAAATGTTATTAAATGCGACAGGATTTCACTACAAGAAATTGTCTTTTCGTACGGGATGCCACCAGTAGCTCAGACAGAATTGGTCACCAGCGCAGACAAGACAACGCCCCTTTCATATAAAGCAGTGGTCAGCCTAGGGTTAGTTGAAGGCAAAATGAAACTTGCGTTGGAGATGGGTAACCCACACATACGTGTATTGGATTCTTTGGACAAAGTCTTGAATATTGCGAAGGGTGGATTTGATGCTGTTGCGACTCTTCTTCCACAAACTTTATATTCTTTGCGGGCTTTTGAGACGATAGAAAATGCTTGGGGCCCTCTTCATGACAAAGGCGAAGTATTCGTGTTCGTCAGGGCTTTTGAGTGGTTCAGACTACGTTATGTTTTCAAGCCAAGCACTCCCAACATGCCTCCACGTACAGTCTCATTTGAGATCAAAATGTGTCATCGCAAGCAAAAACCATGGTGGCTTGTCCGCCGTACGGAAAAGACTGACAAGGGCGTAAGAGGGGACGCAGTTCCGGATGATGAAATTGATCTCCGCTTGAAGTCAGTGTGGGACTCCCGAGGAGATGATGACTGGAAGGGCATGCGTACCAGCGCAGTTGGCCGTAATCGTGGCATTGAAACCTGTCTCGAAAAGATTGATGCAGTGATGCGAGATCTCTCTCCAGAAGACCTTGCAGTTCAACCATCGCAACAATCGCAAACGAATACGCAAGTACAAGCTGTAGGACCACAAGGACAACAGTCTTCGCACCCTCAGCAGCAAAGACAATTACAATTGCCTACGCCAGCAAACTCTCAGAATCATCCACAAAGTCAAGGAAGTAGCCAAGGGCAACAACGGATGCCAACTCCTAATATGAACATGAATCTGAATATGAATCAGAACATGCTGAAGAGAAAATCTTCCGGTCAGGCCATGAATCCCAGGGCAGTTAAGAGAGAAGTGGTAGAAATCGATTAGTAAATTTTGCTTAGGACAAATGAGATGGGGCAATGACATAAATGGTTTTCAACAATGCATGCATAGGCGCACGAACTCGAATAAGAGATAATTACGTTATGGGAAGATACGAATATGCCTTTTTTTACATTTCTTTTTCACCTTGTTACAATACAACATTATATGAGGGGTGGTGGCAG